AGATGAAACTCCTACAATAAAAATGATATATTGTATACCTGAAGTGTGCTCACAATTTGAAGTATTAACATCTGAATATCATGGCATATATTATAATCAGTATGTTAACCTCTGTATGTAGAAGCAGAAGGTACTATAATTAGTAGCTTCTGATTTTTATAGAAGAGGCTATTGCTTTAGCGTTTTAACTCATAGTTGTTTTTTTTGTCGTTATTTTTAAATAAATAGATACTGCAGAGTTGATCTGACTTTCCGTAAAAAAGAGCTTTCTCGAGTTATTATTGGGAATACTGCATTTGCAATTCATTTATAATTTACAATTTCTCCATGGCCACGGTTTTTTAATGCTGTTTGAATTTTCAGTTCGGTTTGGTACCTTAAAACGTCATCTGCATATACTTGTGGGATCTTTACTATAATATCCTATCCAAAATCGTCTACCATCATTTAATATATTCCAAAAAGTAAGACCTAAATTTCACACTATGAAGTTCTTTTAAAATACTTCCTAATAATACTGACACTATACCTATTTGTACTTTACCTTTTTTTCGTACTTTTCTTTCTTACGCTACCTTTTCAGAACTTTTAATTAAAGAATCTTGACTAATCTGTAAGAGGATATCTAAGAGAAATATAGGAGACATCTAAGTTCTGTTAAATAGTGCTAACAAACTAATCACACCAGGCTATTAAGTGCCGAAACTACGTCAAGTGAAATTTTCTAAATGTGATTTTTTTCGTTTGACATATTTCCATGAATTAAATTATTCAAGAGCATCTCCTATTCCTGTTTTCCTGAAATAAAATCATACTGCGTGCTTTGTAGCAAGTTAATTTGGTGTAGCAAACAGCATACGTCTATGTGGAAAAAGTTATCTGATATTTTGCCTGATTGCCGTATTTATCAAAAGGTAAACGAGGTGACAATCTTCTTTATTTTTGCATTATTAATGAAAGAAAAGAAAAATGGCTGGTTTCTAGTTTGTCGGGGAAATATCTAATTTCTCAGCAAGAGTTAATTTTCTTAAGAACAATTAACCATTCACTAATTTCATTTATCGTATCATGTATAATTATCTAAAGCACAATCATTTCCGAAGTCGAGCCCTTTCGAAAAGTTGCCAAGATGTGATTTAATTCATCCACAGTGAAAAGGTAATCATTTTAAGTTAGTTAATCTTTATAAGCATTTAGAAGTATGGAAGCATGCGCTTCCGAATCTTGTTCCAGATGATCATGTGAAAAGTAATAGACTGTTAATGTAATAATAATAACTAATAATTCTTTTCATTTTGTAAAGTTGCAAATTCTAAGTGGTATTTGTCTTTGACATTTGATGGCGTATGTGAAAAGCGGACGTGAAATTCCTCAAAACTGATTCTATTTTGCTAGCTTTGTAAAAAATATTATTTTTGTTCTTAATGGTTTTTGGCTTAGAGATAAATACATTATATTTCATGTTTCTTTCAAACGCATATTTAATATATTCTTTGAAGTGCTCTGTCTTTTGTCGAATTGACTGTTACCAAGTTCACTATGTATGAGAGTTCTGACTTTTAAGTGTTCTTCCTGATTTAAAAAAATAAGTTTTCAACATGTGAATTGAATTTTGAGTTAAATCATTCATTACCTGAGACTGCAGATTATTTTATTTTGCTCTCAAACTATGTTGAGGTTATTTCGTTGGATTTTATCCTAATACTTATATTTAAAGTATTTTGATAAGTAAAAATCAGCGACGTTCCAATTTAGAGCATCCTGTTTAAATAGGGAGATTTGGTATAACATATAAGCAGTTCATGAGGGATCTCAGTATAAAATTCAATGTGTCTTTTAATATGGAGCGTTTTTTCACAGTATTTAGGAAACATACCTCGTTTTCTTCAGATTTCATTTCCATTTAAGTTCAACCTTTTTGAAATAACTCCTTTATTGGTTTTAAGGAGTCTCATTTTGATGGAGTAGAGGAAAAATCACTGTACTTTTACATGAAATAAAGGCGTGAAACCTCCCAAGTGGAAAAGGTCAATATATACGTGAGAATATATTAGTCATCTGGTTGCACTGAGAAATGTACCAATAACAAATTTTTCCTTCCAGTATTGTTGTAGCTTTAGATCTCTTTCAGAAAGTAGGGTTCTTAAAAATTCTGAAATAGTCAATGAAGCGGACTATTGGCTATGTCAAGTCATTTTATTACATCCGCCTGACAGCGTACAGCCTTATCCGTCACTGGCTCTCGGTAAGCATTGCTTTATCAAACAACGGCTCTCAGACACATTAGAGAGTATCTCGAAATTGTATGCCATATGCGAACTAATAGAATATGTATAAATGCAATTTTTGTAAATGCCTAACACTTTCAAAAATCAGCCAAAGTATAAGAGGATTAACGTTAACGTAATGTGTTGTGAATGATACTTTCAGTGAATCTTTATTCAGAATTCAGATACTACCTTATAACATCCGTAGAAATGTATTCACATCAATAAAAGGTGTAGTCAAAAGAGCTCCTCTTTCGCAATAAATTAATTCTTTGATACTAGAAATTTTGGATCATATAAATTATATCGAGTTGCGACACCTAAAACAAGACCTAAACTGCTAAAAGTAGACACAGCTCGAACAGCTTAGTTCAAGGTTTTTCGGTTTGAAACCGTGATATTTTTTCTGCTAGCATTTAAATTCTTAGTCCATTCGTAAAAAAACATACAAGGTTATAGCTATTGTTTGTATAAGTGACTATTATTGCTTCAATTCTAATGATCAGTTTTGGAAAAATGTTGAAGAAAATGACAGGATTACTTTAGTTTTCATTGTAGAGCAATGAAATATTCAAATATTACGATAAGTAACTTTTGAGAGTGTATAGCCATAGCAGTGATAGTTAAAAGAAGAGTTGCATCATTTTGCTGTTTAATGTGATATCGAGTTTTTGGTCCGAGTTCTTTGTTGCTTTTGAATTTCTTCTTTTGCTTTTAGAATAATAACCGAAAGTGAGCGAAGGACTTCCTTAGAGTCCTCTTCAGCCTTTTCTCTGTTCGGCCAGAGATTACTTTTAATTATGTTTAATTCCCTTTTAGAGTACTTTCTCCCTGCTTCCGGAATTCCTTTGAGGTATAATGGTAGCACACTGGCGAGTATTCGAGTCTCGGCGAGAGCATTGCTCATTTTTCACATTTCCTACTTCAAAATAACCTAATGGCTCTACATCCTATCGACAGATAATTTTAATTATCTTTGATTCCATATCGACGTAATCCAACAGTCGAATCTTGAACCTTCCTCTGAATATTTTCGAAATGGTTTATAATTAGAAGTTTTAAATGTTCAATATGAAGAATTTATTTGTAAATGAGATCAACAAATTTTATAAGGTTTATTTTAATGCTACTTGATAATGTCAGTTTTTTATATAATTCTTTATTATGTATATGTCCCATAAGACATCAATGTTCACAGCACATTGAATTTGCTCTAGTAACTCTAATTGTGTTTTCTGATATTACCTACAGTGTATTCCGGCGTATAACCCGCGCTTTTGGTTAAAAAATAGGACCAAAATTTACGAGAGCGTGTTATACGCCAGGTATAAAAATTATAGTCTAAAAATAAGGAAAAAATTATATTTTTACACGCCCCAAAATGCTGTTTATTTAAAATAAATTGCACCTTATGAAATTAAACATTTTTAATATCGGATAACATGAAGAGTTCGCCATGTTCGTCTTCCGTTATATCTCAGGCGTATAATCGAATTTTGTTTCTTCACCATCATTGCTATTTTGATCCGTAAATAAATGATCATTATCCGTTCCATCTTTCACCAACACCAAACATCCTTACTGCAGCATAATTTCCCTTTTCTTTCTCAAAATGAATGGCTTTGCATTTAAAACCAGCCCTGTGTTTGTTTCTTTTCATGGCAACCATATTTACTGGTAAAAGGAGCGTTAGATCAATTGTATTTCAAATAAAGCAAATGCGATTTACTAAAGCCTTCGATTTTCACTTCAAAATCACGGCTTTTAAATGACTACAGAAAGACAAATCGGCTAACTCCTAATTTCGCAAATTCATTCAGGTTGGAACTGCTCTACAGTAGCATTCTTTTTAACACCTACATTTGACGGAATATTTACTCCCTCAAGCATTTAACCTACACACATATTGTTTCCCTTATTGCTTGTCAATGCGGTTTACCATTGTTAGAAAGGCTAAGACTAGTCTTCAAACAAGTGACTCATATCATGCATATTTTAGGTTTCTTCGCGAAGAAATGGGTGCGCGTTATGCGGCGAGTATGCCAAAAATTTAAAAATGGAGCTTGAAATTATAGATGCGCGTTATACACCGAAAAATACGGTATGTAACTTTATGAGACTGTTTGAGAGAACTAACCTTACTTAAATTAGTTTATGATAGTTTTTAGAAATTACGAATTCTCTGTACCCCAGCTTGTAGAAAAACATGTAAGGAAGTATAAAAACACATAAGGAATTCTATAAAAACATATAAGGGACTGGTTTAAAAACACGTAAAGAAGATCACCATTTACTTCTTCCCATCCTGTAATTCTAATTATGTTTTCTGATATTACTTATATAACTTTATGATACTGCTTGAGAAAACTAATACTTCTTAAATCAGTATATGATGGTTTTGAGAAATGTCGCATTCTCTCTACCCCAAGTTAGAACTGGTGTAAAAACACATAAAGATCACCATTTACTTCTACCTTTCCTACATATTTTTTATCAATATTACATTATTTGCTTTAAAATAATTTAATATGATGTGATTTATATTTTTCATAAACCAAAAATAATAAATGAAATTTGATATTTTTATAACAGCAACTTTTAACAGTATATTAAACATTTTATTTATTAACTTGTTTTATTTAATTTTAGTATTGATGCTCAGAGCGTAAAACGTAAAATAATATTTTACACAATAAGATTTTCTAATAATTATCAATTATCTTTTAATTTCAGGGGCAGGAGAATCTGGGAAGAGCACCATCGTGAAACAAATGAAGTAAGTAATTTATTTCTTCTTGAATATGAATACACATCATAAAATAAAAGTCTTATTCATGCTACGTGTAAACATGTAATGTAAATAATCTGATGGGGATACCAAATGACTTCATTGTACAGCCTGTTAAATTATACACATTTTTTTATGTTAATAACAGTTAAGAAAACATTTTTACAACTAAAATTAGAGTTTCTACGCAAAAACAAGCAATTCGTCCAACGGGCAGGAAGACAGATTTTTCGGTGCGCAAAATCGAAATTTTTCTTTTGATCCCACTCGGTTTTTGATCCACACTGATGTTGGCAAAAACTGACTTCCTTCACTGTTCCGCTAAGAGTTTGAAATGTAAACAAATGGCGGCTTCGTTAAGATTAGTACCACTTAAACAACTTTTAAATTGTTGATTATTCTACAATTGTCGCATGCAGATTAGCTAAAGGTGTAAAAACCTTAACCGGGACATAAAAACAATACAATTCAATCCCTTTTAAAGCAAAAAACGCACAATTTACCAAATATATGAACAGAAAACTGAACTTACCAAGCCGGTTAACAGAGTGAGTGTACATATATATGTATATATATATATATATTTTTGGTGCGGATGATTGCAACCAAATAGGCAGATGCACAAATACGTGTTATAGCAGTCCCACACACAAAATTTCAACGTTCTAAGACTACTCGTTTTTGAGTTAAGCGAGATATCTACACACTTCAATAAAAAATAAAAATAAAAACTCTTCTGAATCAATTTAAAAATCCATGTTACAATCCATTTTGGAAAAAAGAGTGCTTAATTCTGTCCGTACATACAGATGCCACACAAAAACATCATTCAAATTGATTCGAGAGCGGTCAAAATGCATATTTTCGTTGAAATATGATACCCGAGATTTTTCGCGATTGCAATACTTCTTTTACTTCGTACGAGAAAATAAAAAGGATATTTTACTACCTTTCAATAATGTTTACTATTGCTAATGATTCTAATTTCGTTTCCAGCTATAAAGGTAATTTTGTTAATATCCTGAAGAAATAATTCCACTTCGCATTCATTTTTTCTAAACATAGGAATTATTTATATGACCAGAACAAGTGGTATTGATTGAACGGAGAAAGATAATAATGGCTGTATTTCATAATTTTAGTTTATTATGAACAATCTCAACAAATTCAAAGTTTGCGAACTTTTCCGGTAAAACCGAAAGACGTAAGAATTTTCATCTCCTCTGGTAAATTTACAAGTCTCACAGTTATTAAATTTTTCTGAACTAGATCTTTTTAAGACATTTTTGAATAATTTTTATTATTTTGTGTCACAAATTCTTTAAAAAAATTAAGTTTTTAACTTTTTCGTTTCTAAATGAAACTTAATGTATACAAATTCAGTTCTTTCTAAGTAATTTTTGTAGTATTAGTTTTTGATGAATTTTTATTCGATCAAAACTATTTTAATCTATTATAGAGATTTGTAGTGCATTTTATGAATAATATTTAGCTGGTAAATATTGGTAAATTGTGGTGTAACTGAAAGGACGCTCGACGCGTATTCGGGAGGTCCAGAGCTCGAATCCCAGCGAAGGCATTCTACAGTTTTTCAAGTTCTGCATTGATGTAACCTAATGACTATATATGTTATTTATAAACCACATTTAACACGTTTATAAATCTCAACCTCTTTTGTTTTGTAAATCGCATTTAACATTTCGTTTCTTTCTCACAATATGGTAATTCCCAAAGTATTTGAAATTTTTTTCCGCTATGATAATAATTAAGTTAGGTCGAAGAATGACCACATATTGCAGTCAAAGTATTTTCCAAGAGTACTGTTTTTACCATTTAACGCTTCAAAAAAGCTAATATTTAATTTTAAGCTTTATTAATTATTATTAAATCGTCCTTCTCATAAATTTTTGTTTCATGATATTACAGTATTTCTATAAATTTAATATACGGATTTTTAATTCTCGTAATATTTTGAGCATTTTCACTAGCATTACATTGAAATTTATGAAAACCTTACAATTGCCTTATGTGAAAGGAAGAATCATAAAACATGCAGTTTATATAAGAAGCTACAAACACGTGTACTGGTCTTAAAAAATCTATCGAATAGCGAGACATGCCGAAACTGAGATAAAAGTTCGTACAGTAAGGAGAAAAAAAGGAAATTTCTTGAAGGAAATTAAGAGTGATACACTGGCAAATTACATTACACAAAAATCACAACTGTGCAAAATCGTAACTTCGAAGAAAACACAATTAAAGATTTAATACGTATTAGGAGTGGGGTAGAGAAAAAAACGAGTTGTATCATTAGGTTGCATTTCTTTTAAATTTAAAGAACATGAATCTTTATCTCTTTTTATGTAATTTTAGGTTGCATTTCGATGTAAAGAAGCATAAAAAAGCTGCCTAAAAATGAATGTACGTGGAAATGGCAAGAAATGCAGTTTCGTGTTTTGGCTGTATTGCTGCGAAAAAAATAAGAAAATAGACCGTTATTGCTTCATATACTGGGACATATAAAATGTAAAACTGACTTTTATATGTATATGCACTTGGTAGCTAGGCTGACGAACACATATATCGTTTTCACTACCACAAAATTAGAAATGGGCAAAGTGGTAGTTGGGGAAAAAAAACTCGTTGAAAGATTTAATATGCTGTAGTCTCAGAGAAAAATCCAGTTATACTTTTTACAGTATAATTCTTTTATATGCTTCTTGAAGAATATTAATCTATTCATGTTTGCATAGACGCATCGAACAGCTGCTTAAAACGCATTTTAAGAGAAAATGAAAAAACTGCAGATTTGAAGTTTTGGCTTTATACTCCTATTAAGGAATCTTGATGTGTTTGTATCTGCATAGATGCATTAAAAAGATAACTAAAATTTCATGTACATGATAAGAGCAAAAAATGTAGATTCGTTGTTTTGGTGTAGTTACGGCGAAAGAATGGTATTGCTTCATATACTACAGTATGTAAAGTGTAAAATTAACTTTTATACTATGGCCGCTTTTTAAAACATTGACTCCTTTTATTGGAAATGAGTAAAACTCAGCTTGCACTGTTTCGAGGGATGACTGTAAAGAAAATAATTTCTCTGCAAGGAAGATATGCGCAGATCTGTATCAAACGCATCATCTTTCTGAGAAAAATCATTTCCGATGTCATTCTATCGAGCTCCATCAGTGAAAAAGAGGAGGAGAGGGTGTTCTTGGATCCATAATTCCGCCTGTTGACAATCCACTACTCTGAATAGACGAGCGGCATGGTTAGCAGGCTGGTAGAGAGGATGAGGAAGAAAAAGAACCGGCGGAAGCAATCCAACCCAAACGGTAGCCACCGCTGCAGAAGGGTGTGGCTGGACCGCGCATGCGCATAAGTCTTCGATGGAGGACTGCGATGACTGCAGCCCTCGCTACCGTTTAATGGGTCAAAAGGGGTTGGGGGTGGTTCAGCGTTTTCGAGCGTAGCTTCTGCCTCTACCCCCAAGTAAAATTACGGCGAACTGATTCGTGGTCCATCTCTCTGCAAGATGAACAGCTCGAATTCAGAGTAAATCGCGCAAACACAATTTTTAAGAACATGCTCACTTGGTTTTTGTGAACGGGAAGATTCCATTTTGGAAGGGGATATTACATGGAGTGACCGCCATTTTGTTTTAGAAGATATCTGTCTGATAAGAAGAGATGTTAACGGCGGGAAAGAATATTAGGCGGCTGGATCATACATTTCTCGAAAAGAATGTGGTCTATCCACTTGCAAAAGACAGATTAGGATTTAAACACTTCGGCTTAAAGATCGCAATCAGTAAAAATGGGTAGTATTTATTAGTCATCGATATCAATCACAATAGGACTCATACATGATATTGACACTAATTCTGTAAGGCATTTTAAATATCCATATCTATTTATCAACATTTAGAGGACAGAATATGTATTTATTTATCTATAAGCAATAATTTTTTAAGCAACTGAGAAGTCAACAACATTACATTTATGTACCAAAAGTGTAAATTAAATACCGTTGGAAATCAATTGCAAAATTATTTAAATGTTAACTTTAGTGGGTAAAGAATAACTGAAAATAACCAGAAATTAACTGCAATAATTTTACGAATAGGATACTACAACCAGAAAAACTCCAGATACTGGTACAAATTGAATGGTAAAATGAAACAGTTGGCGTTACTTTTAGTTAGCAATCTTACATTCGTACCATATTTTGAAACACTTATTCAAAAATTAAGCTTTATTTTGTCAGCTAAAGCTATTATTAAATAGAAAAAGCATGTTTTTGCAAAATCGTTTACAAAACAATTTTAAGAGCTGCATTATAATACACAGCACCTATATGGGGATACGCAAAAGCAATTAAATAAGCCTTTTCTAGAGATAAGAGATGTTCTTTGCCACATTAAAATAGTATAATATATCTCGACCTTAAAATGTACGCCATTACAGAATCTATCACAAACGGCTGCAAAATTTTATAAAAATATTGAAGAATATGAAAGTAATTTTATTAGAATACAAACACACAACCTATTCACCTTAATAAAACATCCGTATCATTTTAGTACTTTAGTACTATAAATATCAATAATTAATTTAAATTTATATTTAAAGTTCAGTAAACTCCATCTTTGATCGCAATTTACAAATCTCCACTTACACATGCAACACTTCATAACTGCCTGTTTCTTTGCATTCCCACATGCACAAGTATTGGCCACAGATCTTTATGCGAAAAGAAAAGACGTTGCTACATAATGAGGGAAAAAAGGTAGGGGGGTCGATTTTAGCCCTCCGTTACTTCCAGGAAGCATATGGTTTCAGTATTAAATCTAAACTGTTCATTTCTTTTGAAATGATCCCTAGCTAACATCATATTGTCTATGAGTAAATCATAGGCTGCAATTATATTTCAAATTAAGATATCAGAACGATGTTTCTTTGAGCAAAACGAACAAAGCTGAAACT